GAAAATAAAAAGATAATAATATATGCTTTTAAGGAGAGAAAAGGAGCAGTCATATGCACTTTTAAGAAGAAAACGAATAATTATGTATAACTATACACAAATATGTATAATATATATAGCATCAAAGCAAGAAATGTTACAAAAATAAAAAACGTATATCTATATCCGGCTATTACAATAATTTGCGTGTTATACAATAATTCTACTGTTTCCATTTCGCAAACGGGTTCTTTAATCATTTTTGGTAGAAGTATGTTGAAAGATTTAATAAAGATGATGATAAATATTGCTAAACAAAGAACCACCCAAATGGAATCGCGAAAAAAGTTTCAATAAATACTGATGCCGGAGGAATACAGAATACGACTGAAAACAATAAATTTTTACGAAGACGTCTGCTATGTATTGATATATACTGTCTTTTTCCAACTTGTTTTTTTTATTACCTGTTTCATTTGTTTGTTTAGCAAGTTTCTATATATAATATATATATTTCCAAGTAGAATAATTAGACATATTAGATGTAATGCAAAAACCAATCTCAATACGTCAATTACATTTCTTTCAACAAATTCAATTAATACGTTGTAAAAATTCTAAAATATATATAAGCAAATGTATTAGCTTCAGATATCAAAGTTATTTTACATACCATTTTTATTCTTGTATGACTAAATATACAATAATGTAAGGGGTATGAAAATTACGAACTATTTATGTTGTCATGTGGCATAAAGGTAAATAAAGATGTTAATTCTTTCTTTCTATAATATTCAATGATCTACATATAATCCGTAATTCTTCTTCCCTGTTGCTAGTTAGATCTATTTTATACAATGGTATGTTCAACGAATTGTTAATAATAAATCATCTATTTTTAATCCATATTTAATAGCTTCTTCATTACATAATCTAGAAATTAATTCAATAAAATAGATGATTAAAATATATTAAACAACATATACTTATTCTAGTAAAAATGATTGCGCTATAGAAAGAGATTATAAATGAAAAGGTGACCATGACGGTATTGGGGATATAAATGAATTATTGCTTTATTTTGTCTAATTAACACAAGTAACACTCGTCTGGAGACTCGCTCAGTTCCTTCTCCTAGAAACGATATGTCTTCACTACTAGTAAACTGTTTATTCTAATAAATTCAAAAACCGACTTCAGATTTGAGTCCTTCGATCTTGATAACCCTTCCGGCAACTCTTATAAAAAATATCTTCTCTTGTAGAAAAGTGTTCCTTTGTCTAAAAAACTTCATACTTAAACGAATCTCAAAAAACTAACGTCATATTCGAATTCCTCGATCCCAATTACCTTTGGTCAATCGTTTTCTGATGACCACCGATAAGTCTTCTTTGACTTCTAAACTGCTGCAATCTAATTGACTTGGACAAACTGACAAACTTCAAGCATTTGAACGATCCTGTTTAACGAGCCTACAACCCTTTCTTTCAGAAAAGGGAATAACAAGAACATAAAATATATCCACTTTCTAAAATACAATAATTTAAGCTGATCAAACTATTTGACAAAAATGGATGTAGTTGGGAAAAACTGATTTGCTTAAACATATTATTGAATTATTCATATGTTATTATCTGAATACATATGGTTGGGAACAACAAATGATTAATATTCTTAATATCTGTATTTGTATCCACTCAGTTGTGCAAATAATAATCTATCGTTTATCGATCATCACTCTTTTTTGACAGCCGTATACAATATGAAATCGAGATATTATTGTAACTCATATATTATTTGGTGAACGATAATGTATTGAGAAATGTAAATGATTAAATAATTTGATTACATATAAAAAAACGTTATGATTCAATCCAAAAAAGAAAATTTGTCATTCTGTCTATATTAATTAATAAAGTTCAGCACTCTTGAGATAAACACTGCCGCCATTCTCTCCACCAGTCACTAATACTTGTCCATTTGCTAATATGGATGCTGTGTGATAATATCGTGCGGCACTCATGTTTCCTGTGGATATCCAAGTGCCTGTTGATGGATTGTACAATTCAGCACTATTGAGACAAATACTACTGCTGTATCCACCAGTAACTAATACTAATCCATTTGCTAATAGGGATGCTGTGTGATATTGTCGTGCGGTACTCATTTGTCCTGTAGCTGTCCAAGTGCCTGTTGATGGATTGTACAATTCAGTACTATTGAGATAACCACCGTTGTATCCACCAGTAACTAATACTAATCCATTT